TGCAGCATGACAACTTGTTGAGAATGTCCTTTATGTCTCTTTCAAGGAAGAAATAAAGAAATAAGCTTAAAAATAATTTAAAAGTGCATGCTCCCAGAGTATAAGAAACAAAGGGAAGAGGGAGAATTGGGTCAAGGAGCTGTTTTTGTCTTTCCAGTTTAAGTATTATAAGATTTGTAAAACCATATAAATGTTTTATTTTGATCAGCAGATGGCATAGTGGTTACGTCGTTGGACGGACTCCCACAAGGCCAACTGCGGTCTGAGTCCCAGACCCAGAGGCCTGAAACACGCTGAGTGCTTGTGCGTGCATGCCCAAAATACCAAGAGGAGAATGGAGGAGAAGGGATTGTGGCATGGCCGTCGCTCCTGGGGGCTGATTTCTCACTTTCTGTCTCTGTCTCTCGAGCAAGCCACATGCCCTATAGCAAAAATCTCTCTAAAAAAACCTCTCACACACACAAAAAATACTTAAATTAAAAATAAAAAGTAATATTTATATCAGAAGGATGTGGGGAGGAAGTCTGTCAGTCAAAAAATTATATATAAAAGATAGGCAAATGATGGCAGTGCTTGTTCCAAACCCAAGGCAAGGTGCCTTTATTTGTTCTACTCCCATGTGACTCAAGTGGGCACGTAGGTAAATGTCCTCTGACAGGTAAATGTTTCCTGTGGAGATACTGAGCAGGCTAACAGGACCTATACCAGAAGCATTTGAACCACTTGACCCCCTACTTACCGAGCAATTGTCCAACAGTTTGACTTCTCATTTAACTCAACTTCAAAGGAGACTCGAGCATACCTCTCTGTTACACAGAACAGCTTAACTTTGCATTGAAAAAAATATTTTTGTATTCTGTTTTCCTGTGAGCTTTGGGACCAAGATCAGGGTTAGGTCCACATGAGTGTGATAAGCTCTCAATCAAAACTTGATCCGTAGGTAAAAACCACCTTGTGATACTTGCTGACGTTGGCTAACAGCCTCCTCCCCAGCAGCTGCCCTAACCTCAGCTTCCTCCCCACTTGCCTTGAGTACCATCACAAACTCCAGTTAAATAAATTACATTACACTAAGTAACTGAGAGGTAACTGTGATTGACCACTTCTAGGAAGACACAGTGGCTGCCACCTGTGGTTCTTTTTAAGCAAAGACATTCTTCACCCAGTGCTTTCAGGGCCCCCCACAAAAATACCATAAGCTATATTTCTAGAACTTTAAAAGTACAGAAAGTATTCCCAAACTTAAAAGGTCATGGTATTAAAACATTTCAATATTTTATAAAGAAAATATAATCATAAATATTAGTAGTAAGCACTTTGAAAGCGCTCTTTATATGTAATATCTTATGGGGGTAAATATTTCTTTCTTTATTTTATTTGTTATTATTATTATTTAATGTGATGAGAGAGAGAGAGAAGATGAGAGAGCAAGCCCCCAGGTCTGAGATTTGAACCATGATCGGCCATGTGGGAGTCCTGCACCTTAACAACCACACTACTTGCCAGCCCCATGTAGTATCCCATTTAATCCTCAGAAAACCCTGTGGTATAGGGTCATTCTATTTTTATTTCTATTTATTTATTTATAAGTGTGGAAAATAATACACAGCAATACTGAATAATTTGGCCAGGGTCACATAGTAAGATGGAGCCGAGATTCATACCGGCAGTCCAGTTAGAGTCTGGGTCTCTGCGATGATAAAGTGTCTTGTTGAGACTCACATAACCAATATGGAGCAGAGCCAGGAAGAGGCACTCTCAGTTTTTACTATGAACCTACAGAAGGAAATAGAAACCAATGGAACCCTTGATACACAACTTCCCAAGCATAGCCACTTCCATTGGCTCCAAACAAGCTGACCAGACACTTAACTGATATAAGTCCACCCCAACAATCACCTGGTGAAGTCTCTCTGTGACAAATGAATTCAAAACTTCAAAAATTACCCCCCTGAAATAATAACACAAACTGTCTGATTAGAGACACAAAAGGAGAATGGCACATTAAAATTGTTGACCATTCCATTTTCAAGTGGAAATAAACAGCTCACAAAGACAACCGCAGGTACCTGTCTTTCTCCTCCCTAGAGAAGTAGGAATGCAAAGAAAAGGGTAAATTTAGAAGGTTCCCAGAGTTTTAATAAAACTGCCTTTACATTTTAACAGCTACCATTTACTGCACAGTGTGAGCAATGAGGTTAATCACCTTGTGAACATTATCATTATCAACCTCAATTAGCTCGATCCCTCACCCTGAGCTGGTCAGTCTGCTATACAGTGCACAGAGATTCTTTCCTTCAATCCTGATCACTGTCCTATAAGATGGGCCATATTATTACAATCATTTTATAGGTGAAGAAAGTAAGATTAGAGAGTTTATTAAAACCATACAAGGTAGTGCCAGCTGCTGTGTGCAGCCGTAACAGGCTAAAAGTCATATGGCTGACTGTGGGTTTTTACCCCCTGATTGACTTGAAAATAAGCCAACATGGGCACCCAAGATCCTGAGTAGCTGAAGGGCTGGCCAACGGGGAACAGAGTGATAAGACCCTGTTGACGCTAAGGGTGCTTCTCTCTCCTCCCTTTCCACCCCACCGCCCCTCCCCACCATGCATGTGCCTGTGCTATTATTCAAATAACAAACAAAAAACTGTACAAGGTAACTGTACAGAGCTGGAACCTGAAATTAAAGCCCAGAACACAGATCTACTGGAACATAAAGCCTTGTTGCTTAAGCACTAGGCTATACTTCTTTGTCCTTATTGACCTTCACAACACATCTTAAAGTTAGTGCTATCAGCCTTATTTTATAGATGAGTGTCAGAGAGGTTAAAATCATTTCCTGAACACATGGAACTGGTAAGTGGTAAAACTGGAGTTCAACTCTAGCACCATTTCACTCCAAAGCCCAAGTTCTTTATCACTCTATTCATTATCTCTTTTTTCACTGGAATGTGAGTTCGTTCATTCAACAAATATTTATCAAGAGCTTGCTATGCACTGGGTACTATCCTAGGCAGTCATAATGTAAATGAATAAGGCAAAAATAAACTCATACTTTGTGGAGCTTATATTCTAGCACAGGAGGCAGAAAATAAATAGAAGTGATAAATTATATGGTATGTTAGAAGGTGATGGGAAATAGGGTCAGTCCCAAGCACAGTAATTAAGCAGTAATGCACTATGTATAGAAAGCAAGACCCCACATGGTTGAATAAGACTGGAATCCTGGCCCCTGAGTAACTTGAGAAACATGCCAGGCACATGTGTGTGCATGCCCCCAAATTCTGAAAAGATGGGGAAATGGAGGAAAATGGATAACAGCATAACCATACCCCAATAGGGACTGCTTTCTCTCTCTCTCTCTCTCTCTCTCTCTCTCTCTCTTTCAAGTGCACATGCACTCTGGCAATTAAAAAAAATTAAGAGAAAGTGATAGGAAACAAACTAGGGTAAGAAAGATTTAGTAAAAGGCATGAGAATGCAATTTTAAACAAAGTGGGCAACAGGCTTCATGGAAAAAGAGAAATACGAATATGGACTTGATCAGGTTGACAGCTGCAGGCATATGGAGACCCAGTCATTCTGTAACTCCTCATCAGAAATCTTTCAAGGTGGGAACCAGCAGTTAGCGTAATGGCTATGTCGCTGGACTCCCACATAGTCAACCGCGGTTCGCGTCCCGGACCCAGTGGTTTAAAACTCACGCCGGGCCCGTGTGCACGCGTGCCCAAGATCCTGAAAGGAGAATGGAGGAGAAGGGATTGTGGCGTGACCATCCCCCCTGGGGGGGTGATTTCTCGCTTTCTGTCTCTATGTCTCTCTCTGTCTCTCTGGCGAGCGCACGCGCCCTATAGCAAAAACCTCTCAAAAAAAAAAAAAAAACCAGAAATCTTTCAAGGTAAATCCTTTAACCCTTTAACATCATGTCTTATATGAGATACCAAAAAAGCAGAAAAGTTAAAAAGCCAAGCGCTTTTTCTCAACTTGCCAAAAATGTATGCTACAAGGAGACAAGAAAACGCATACACGGCACATTTGCATTACAGATGGAATTGGTAAGGTTGTACCTCAACAAGGAAAAAGAAAGTGCTAAATATTGTATTTCACCTATTGAGAATTAGTTCCCCAAGTCAGCGGCCTTCCCAGGCAATCTGGGTGACATCTTCATCAAGGGCTCAGACTACAGATGCTAATTCTACAAATACTCTCATAAAATGGTACTGCATAACAGCCAAAGACTGGCTGAACCCCCATGGTCCAAATGTGGTACCTCAAAACAAAACAAAACAAAAAAGGCAAGCTACATTACATTTTCCCTAAGTTCACAACGCCAAGACCATCCTACATTAAGAGCTCTCACTACACTACAATGGTTGTGAGGGAGTCCAACATGATTGTGGAAGTCATAGAGACAGGTCTTTCAGGCAAGTGAAAAAAAGGAAAATCTCTATTAGGAAAGAGCCCAAGAACTCATCCTTCTATTCTAGACTTTCTAATAAGGAATAATTAAAGTTAAGCACTGAAGTTTGGTGCTTTGCCTCCTCTATGAACAGCCCTTGGTTGAACCATTCTCCTCTTTCAGCTCACAAGCACTCTTCAAATTTGCCTTATCTCAGAACACAGTGCAATATAGTCTACATGGCCTCTCCTGTATTAGCCTGGGTCACAGAGCATATTGTAAAGAAGGAAATTGAAGAATTGCCCAGTTGGTAACCAAACTTAAGGTTGAGATGTTCTTGCCAGGATTAAGGTTAGGAAAGTATTACACAATTATTTGGACTGTATTTTTACTTTTGGTTTACTTGTTGGTGCCTGGTAAAAGACGGAGGTTCTTTAATAGCTGTTTCTAATCAGAAGATGAACATGACCTGAAGCTTTGGGTCAGGTATGCAGGTCGACCTAGGTCTTCCTTCAACATTGGATCCAAGGCCTGCCTCGCACAAAAGATCATACTGTTTTTCATGATGCAGATTCTAAAAAAATAGGTTAAAGAGAGAGAAGAGGAGAGAGGGAAGGAAAAGCAAGAGAGAGGGGAAGACAGCTTCAGATTCAATCCCTTAGTGAAACACAGTTTACTGAGCTCCTACCAGCTCCCAGGCATCATTCCAGATTCTGGGACAAGAACAGAACTAAGGAAAGCTGTGTCTGCTCTTGGAGAGTTAGAACCCAAACCCCTTCCTCAGGATCCAGCAACAAACAAGGAACCCAGGAGATGAGCAGGACAACTTCAGACTAATAGGGTGAGTGATGTGAAGAAATGATATACTGGGTGTGGATTTTGATAGGATGATCAAGGTAAGCCTGTCTGAGAGAGGACATTTAGGTGGAAATCTGAGCAACAACCATGGAGTGGCACACAGTTGAGGGCAGAGAGTCTCAGGCAGAAGACACAAGTTTAGAGCTGGCCCAGTGGCAAAGTGATTGAGGGTGCTGTACTCCACGTGACCAACTACATTTCAAACCCCCATCCAGTAGTGTGTGTGTGTGTGTGTGTGTGTGTGTGTGTGTGTGTGTGTGTACATGCCCAAAATCCTGATGGGAAGGAGAACTGAGAGAAAAAGGATTGCAGCATGATCACACTCTATTTAGGGTGCTTTCTTTCTTTCTCTCTGGCAAGCCCACATGCCCTCTGGCAATAAAGAAAAAAATTATAATACATAAATAAATCAGTAGACACACTTTCTTTCTTTCTCTCTGGCAAGCCCACGTGCCCTCTGGCAATAAAGAAAGAAATTATAATACATAAATAAATCAGTAGACACAAACGTAAAGGTCGTAAGGAGAAACCCTAAGAACCCAAAGACTGACAGGCTTTGGAGAACAGTGAATGAGGAGCGAGACCAGAGTGGGCAGGGTTGGGTCAGGCAGCACTTTTGAGGCCAGCACGAAGGCTTTGGTTTGGTGTTAAGGGTAGCAGGAGGCCACTAGGAGGTTTGAGGCAAGACAGTGACACAATCTAGCTAATGGTTTAAAATGTGCTGATTTTGAGCAGTTAAAACTCAATCCTTCTTGGCTGAAAAGAAAGGGGGGGGGGATTGTCTATCAAGCTCCTCTTCAGGCTGCCAAGTGTTAGGAGGAGTTTAGATTAGAACACCAAGTCCCAAAGACATACGGCACAGGCAGGGAAGTCCCGTAAAGGGTTGAGGTGGAGCTAGAAGAGTATTCTCTGAGCCCCATCTTCAAAGAGAGGCCAGAGGTTGACACTTGATGGTGGAAGGGGTCTGACCACACTGCAGTTGCTCCCAATGAATCTTTCTTTTAAGCTTATTTATTCTTTTCTTCCATGAGTAAAAAAGGTAGGTAGGTAAGGAGAGAGAGAAAGACCTTCAGCAGGGTCCTCATGCTGCAATTCACCCCAGCCTCAACCGTCCCTGGGTCATGGTCACACACACGCAGCATGTCTAGGGAGGTCTCTGGTCCCAAACCTGAAAATTTCCCATGAGTCAGCACTGTGTTACCGCTATGCCACCCTCTTGCCCCTTCCAGTTGAATCTTAACAGAACTGCCAGCATCTGAAGAGATTATTTTTAGCTGGAAACATTTTCAGACAGAATTATTGCACTTCGTCCAAGGCAGGATGTGGTCTCACTCTATCGGTCAGTGAGTACTTCGTCACTACCAAATGCAGCATAGAACAAAGGCGAAAAGGTGACTATTGTGTAAATTAAAGATGCAGTGTGCTTTTGAGGATCTGAAAGTCTCATGGAGAAGAGAGAAGATGGAGACTACCGATAGTAGTACACAGAGTCATCTTTACATATATGTAGATATTTAGAGATAAGAGTTAAAACCCAGGTCTTTTGGTTCCTGGTTCATTGCTGTCTCAGGTGAATGAATAACCCATCAAGTCCACGGTTTATGATTCTACTTGTGAAGAGATCTGATCATTCTGCTAGGAATTTCTAACTCCCACTATTACCCCCCAAAAACAAAGGTCATCCATAAACAGTCACTCGCCAGAATCCACTTCAGCAAATTTAATCTCTTCCAACCCACCAACGGTTTCACTTCCCTATGGGGAAGCTACAAAATGTACACAGGAGGAAGTGAGAATGACCTGCTAGTGATCAGTTGTCTTTTCAAAATGCACAATCTACACAGTAATACACATATGTACACAGAAGCACGTATGTGCATGTGTGTGAATGTATGCACATAACAGTTCATTCAAGGAAAAATTGATCTGATTTCTCTAGGTGGCTGAAAATGCAATCCTGGGAACCAGCAGTTAGCGTAATGGCTATGTCGCTGGACTCCCACGTAGTTGACCGCGGTTCATGTCCCGGACCCAGTGGCTTAAAACTCACGCCGGGCGCATGTGCATGCGTGCCCAAGATCCCAAAAGGAGAATGGAGGAGAAGGGATTGCAGCGTGACCATCCCCCCTGGGGGGTGATTTCTCGCTTTCTGTCTCTATGTCTCTCTCTGTCTGTCTGGCGAGCGCACGCGCCCTACAGTGAAAAAAAAAATGCAATCCTCACCTTGCTGCTTAAGGAGAGAAACATGAAAACTCTAACAGAGGCTTATGTTAGTCTCTCCTCTCCCTTCAATTTCCAAAAAAAAAAAAAAATGTCATTTAGTCGCTTTTTTAAAACAATAGCAATTTATAACAGCAGCTAATGGACTACATGAAAACCTCTGGCATATTACTTGACATCTGAAAAGTTTGGTTTTGTCCGTGTGAAATGAGAACCATAGAACTGACAATCCTCAGCATCAGGGTTGTTAGAGCTTGAGAATGACATGACTTGCTCATTTATGATAGAGCACTGTGAGAACGGCAGTCATTAAGAACATTTTTATATTGCATTCCTACCTGAGGTGATAATGTTTAATCTGATATGAACATAGCTTTATCAGTCAAATAAGTCATTATCTCTACTGTCAGATAGAGGCTAAATTTGGGGCCTATAAACCAAATATTTCAAGATAATTTCCTCTATGTAGTTGAGGAGTCTTCTTTGAGAATTCGTCGCGGTACCATGGGGGTTCTGACATAATCCCTCTACAAAAGGTTCATATCTAGAAGGACCATTCTTTCTATTAACATTAATGTTGGCCAAGTAATCTATCAAACCCTATGCCTCATCTAATATTTATTTGGATTTTTTACAACAAATTTCTGAGATAGATAGAAACTTTGATGTCATCTTCAGTAACACATGAGAAGACTGAGGCTCAGGGAAGTTAATGGAATTGCTCTTTCAAAAAAAAGGTAGGATTCTAATCCCAAAATGTAATGATGTTTAACTATTATCATTTCTCTTAACCAGAAAAATATAAGTTAAATTAAACTAGCAAATCTACAGCATCACTTGCTTGAGTGGGAAGGCAATTGTTTGCAAAAAGAACATGAGGCAACTTTTAGGGGTGATAAAATATGGTTATAGGCATTTATATTTGCCAAAATTCATTAAACTATATACCTCACTGTATGCAAATAAAATTGTAGAAAATGTAAAGTTCGTATAATCTCCCAACTTTTTGCTTCCCATTAGCAAGAGAAATGATTGATTATTGTTCTCCTTCTACTGCCTTTGTCTAGACTAATTCTTTCCCTTGACTCTTCCCGTGGTAAACATGCTCTTTTTTATCATCATCACTTTGATATCAAATGCAATGACATTAAATTAGGTTTCTTAAGTTTGTGCAGGGGAATTTCTTTTTCATATAATACTTTACATATTTGCCTTACCCCAGTTGCCTAAATTGAGGTGTATTTTTAGTGTCTGTGGTTGTCACAGTGTTCCTGTTATTAGGGTTACTCTGGGGATCTGGATTAGCTGGATGTTCACCTTCAGAACTCAAAAGTAAAAGAGCAAAAGTTTCCAAAGAGGGGGAACAAAAGTCTTTGCTGACAGCACAATATTCTTCCCCTTTCTGAATTGCTTTTCAGCCAGCTAAAGAACACCAGGTCATCAGAGGCAATGTACCCAGACACACTGACAAGTCAGCTCTACGCAGTGAAGAGCATCTAGAGGGAGCCCAAGGTTTTGGTCTCCTGCTTTGGAGCTAATTCAGAATTCAGATTCTCTTTTCCCAGAGGAAGAGTACTGTGTTTCTGTAACTCTTTGCATAATAAAGCCTGTGCTGATGCTTTTCATTAAATAGTAACATTTATAATACATATATTCACAGGACTTCACAAAGTGTTTTCACATTTATTACTGCACTTGCGGTACAACCTTGTGAGGTTAATACAATTATTGTCCTGTTTTATGATATTAGAGTCACTGAAGATACACATAATTTTTCAAAAGACACTCAGCTCTTTCTATTTTTTTTTTCATTTTATTTATTTCTTCCATAAGCAAGAGAGACAAGGAGAGAGAGAGAGGCATGCACTTCCGACAGGGTCTTGATGATCTGATCTACCCTGAGCACCAGTGTATTCAGGGACATTTTCAACGTGAACTCAGAACATTCCCATATGGGTCAGCCTTGAAGAGAGTCACATTTTACTGCTGCACTCCTGGTCAGCCCCCAGACACTCAGCTCTGAAGAGGTAGAGTCAGAATTTGGTCATGTTATTCTGCCCTCTATTCATCTATACTACCATTGGCTCTGATAACTTCACTTAGCTCATAAAGCCATCATCCCTCCCAAGAAACGTCAGGGCTCAGAACATGATACCTGAAAGTGTGGCACCTTGGCATACTGAGTATTTTAAACTAAAGGAAAAGAGAAAACTGCAAAAGTAGGAAGGTCCCCCTCTGATCTTCTGCCCCCTCTCTACCCTGAATCAGGTCATAAAAGAATTCTCTGACCTACCTTTCCTGAAAGGTCATAAAACTCTCATTACAGAGCGGTCCTACCCTATATCCTCCATTCTCCATCCTGTCAGGATTTGGGGCATGCACACCCAGTGTATTTTTCAAGTTGCCAGAGCTAGAATTTGAACTATGGTCAGCCATGCGGGTCTGGCTTCCTTAACCACTAAGCTTGGGGCCAGTTCCCAGTCCTCCAGTTTATTACCATTAGATCATACCCTTTTGTCCAATGATATTTCTTCATGACTATTCATAGAAATGTAACTTTCCCTAGGCTTTTGTGTCTTCATTTCTGATGCCTATCTGTACCATAAAACTTTGGTTAAATAAATTTGTTAAACTCTTCTTAATCTGGCTTTGTTCTAGGGGTGTCAGCTATGAGCCTTTCAATAGGTTAGAAAAAGATACAATTGTGCTGAGTGAGCAGAATCGTAAATAGAATGCCCTTGTTACATATATCCTTACCATAAT